AGCAGGCGTGATGCTCTCCTGATTCCCCGAGGTCCCTCTGCTTCATTACTCTTCTTTTCTCTGTTGCATCCCCTCCAACCAGTGCAAACTTGAAACGTAAATGTTTCCTATCCCAGAATGTAATTAAATCTCTTTAGCCTATATTTTGAAACAACACACATTTGGGGATGTGAGCATGGTAACCAGCTTAATGAGTCCTAGAGTTTGTGTGTCTATTTCTATTTGTGACTGACATTCCCATCCCGCTATCAAAATTAGTAGCCATCAGTCAAGCAGAAAGTTAGAAAGTTATTGTCAGTGAGCGTCAAACAAACCCCAGCTCCAGGTGGGATTGAGGTTTTTCAATAATGAATGTCTGAGCAATTTAACTAATCGCTATATTCAGCCTTGCTGAGCTTTTTCTCCCCCTCATACCTAAGCAAACAGAAATCTGGAAAGTTATGAGTCTGGTGCAAGCAAATGAATCTTTAGCTAGAAATTTAACCTGAGAAGAAATCCTATTTCTTTTAAACTATATGCTTGTTTCTATTTATTTCAACCTGTGTCATGTACAGTTCTATGCCAGGAATTTAGACTGAAGCTGAAGTTGAAAAGAAAGCAGTTAAAGAAAAGAAAGAAACCCCCCATTTATCCTATTTAGCAATTTCTAAAATTATCACCCTTATTCTACTGTCCTAGAAAGTGCTTTTTTCACATTATAATATACCTGTTGGCCTCTGTCCATTTTACCATGTATATTTGCAGCAGACAAAAAGGTAAGGTTTCCCCTTAGATTGGAGAAAGCTATCATTTGGGGAATGCAGTGATTGAAGTTTGAATATTATAAAATGTTCAACCCAGCATGCACTGGGGCAGGTATTCTCATGGACAATGACAGGTTTTTGCTTATAATTTTACAAATACATCAGCCCTTTCCCTACAAGATTATGAATAGAAAGAAGTTCAAATGAATTGTCCAATAAGGCTGGGAAAACCAGCAGAAAAATATTCTCAGGATTATATGTAAAAAGGAGTATAATATAACAGAAGAACTGGCCCATGATCAGAATTCAAGACTTAATGTTTCTTAAAATATAAGAGAAGCACATGGATTGGGATGTATCACAGTGCAGAGATTTCAAACATGAGCTTTGGCACCAGGCAAACCTGAGCTGAGTCCAGACTCTGCCTTTTACTGGTTTTGTTGGAGCAAATTTCTTAACGTTTTTTGGCCCTTAGTTTTCACATCTGGGAAATGGGCATAATCACTGTCGGTAACTAATAGAATTATTCAGATAATTTAATGAGATAATGCATGTAAAGTGCTTCACCCAGGACCCAGCCCATAGAGCACTCCAATACATGTCACTATTATCAATATTAATGTACAGGATAGTTCCACATGTCATTGTTGTCATGACTGTTTTGACTATATTTATTACTCTTAATGATATAGGTTGGTCTCTGGGATAAGGATTAAGAAGCCTCATAGCTTTATTAGAATATTGCCAAGACAGTCACTGCAGCAGGGCTATGAGAAAAAGCCTTTTGTTCTTTATTTTTAATATACAGACTCAGCCAAGAAGAAAAAGCCTTCTTCCCTCCCCCCCCCCCACACAGAGTAATAAACATAATTCTGTGAAATAGATATGAGATTGCAGAGGACTTTGAAAGGTATTTGTTCAACAGTAATTTTTAAATGACATATTGTTATTACAAAAATAATGGATTTTCCTCGTCTCCAAAAATTTAAAGAATGCTAAATGGCGTGCTCCACTCAGATCCCCTAAAATCCCTTTACATTTCTTCACATCTCTTCCTCAACAGTGGTAAGCTTTTGCTCCCAGTGGCCTGCACCTGTGACTTTGCCTAGGCGACCTGCCTTCAGGCTACTGGAGCAGCTGCATTCAGCTTGTCTGGGAGTTTATGTCCCTAACCCCACGGTGGCCTTTAACCAATGACTGCTGAGTGAAGGAGTTTGAAAGCCCAGCTTCCTTGCCTTGGGTTAGAATAAACCTAAGGTGTAATTTACACTTAGAGTTTCTCTGTGGGATCAGGCTGAAGTTATCCTCTATGGCAGAGGTCCCCACCTTTGTGGCACCAGGGACCACGTTTGTGGAAGACAATTTTTCCACGGATGGTGGGGACATGGTTTTGGGATGATTCAAGTGCATTACATTTACTGTGCACTTTATTTCTATTATTATTACATTGTCATATATGATGAAATAATTGTACAACTCGCCATAATGTAGAATCAGTGGGAGCCCTGAGCTTGTTCATCCTTCACTAGAAAGTCCCATCTGGAGGTGATAGGAGGCAGTGACAGATCATCAGGCATTAGATTCTCATAAGGAGCTTGCAGCCTGGATCCCTCACATGTGCAGTTCACAGTAGACTTTTTGCTCCTATGAGAATCTAAAGCTGCCACTGATCCGACAGGAGGTGGAGTTCAAGCAGCAATGTGAAGAATGGGAAGTGGCTGTGAATACAGATGAAGCTTTACTCGTTCACCCGCCACTCATCTCCTGTTGTGCAGCCCAGCTCCTAACAGGCCATGGACAGGTACTGGTCCCATAGACCAGCTGGGGACCCCTGCTCTATGGGACTTGGCCTAAAATTGCACGCTGGCTTTGCTTCCTATCCTTTTCTGTCCTGTGTCTTACCTGTTTCTCCGGGAAGCACTCCCTTAATAACTCTGTTGTGGCCAGGTGTGGTGGCTCACGCCTGTAATCCCAGCACTTTGGGAGGCCAAAGCACGTGGATCACGAGGTCAGGAGATCAAGACCATCCTGGCCAACATGGTGAAATCGTGTCTCTACTAAAATTACAAAAAAATTAGCCAGGTGTGGTGGGGAGCGCCTGTAATCCCAGCTACTCAGAAGGCTGAGGCAGGACAACCGCTTGAACCCAGGAGGCGGAGGTTGCAGTAAGCCGAGATCGCACCACTGCACTCCAGCCTGGCAACAGAGCAAGACTCCGTCTCAAAAAATTAATTAATTAATTAATTAATAATAAATCTGTTGCACATGAATCCTTCTCTTTGGACCTGCTTTTGGAAAGCCAGACCTAATATAACTACTATTAGTAATAGCATCTACCCTTCCAGAGTGTGTGTGTGTATGTGTGTGTGTGTGTGTTTGGATATTTTATGATCTCCAAATCTGACAATTGTGAAATTGTATAGTACATATAATGGCGTTTTTGTTGTTGTTTTTTTTTTAATTTAAACACTTATCTTTTCATGTCTACAAATAGGCTTCAACATGTATTTCTAAGAGCCACCTGGTATCCCATTGTAGGGTTGCACCATAATTTAGCCAGTGCCACTCAAACTTTTTTTGTTGTTCATTGCTATGGTAACAGTGTGGGTTGAACATCTTTGCCGGAAAATTTCTGTGTAAGTCCATTTGATATTACTCTACCTGAAAACATAATTCCTGGGTCAAACTGTAACCCATATCCAAGGGTTGTGATTCTTATTTCCAAATGCCCTCCAAAAAGGTTGGACCAATTCATACCCTTGCCAGCACTATCCTTGGTCTCCATCCCTACCCTTCCTCCATTTGTAATATTAAAGATTGGTGGGCATGAGCTCTGAGGAGGTCTGGAGCTTGGATGATGAACCTTGATCTTCAAAATAGCTTGAGTGCTACTTCCTCTGCATTAACCAATCTAAGACTCACCCACATTTTAATTTTCATCTCATGTGAATTAAACCGACTTTTCTTGGAAGAAAAGTTTCTTCCTGATTGCAAAACCTACTGCAAGGCTACAGTAATCAAAACAGAGTAGTGCTGGCATAAGGACAGACATCTACACCAAAGGAATACAATAAGGACCCTAGAAATAAACTCTTACATATATGGCCCAGTGATTTTTAGTAGGGGAAAGGGGTAATCTTTTCAGTAAATGGTGCTGGTAAAACTAGATATTCACATACAAAAAAATAAAGTTGACCCCTTTATACTCTTTACAAAATTTAGCTCAAAATGGATCAAAGACTTAAATATAAGAGCTAACACTATAAACCTCTTAGAAGAAAACATATAGGAAAATTTTTATGACATTGGATTTGGCAATAATGTCTGAAATACGATAGCAAAAGCACAGGCAACAAAGAAAAAAATACATGGATTGGACTTCATCAAATTATAATTTTTTTTGGATCGAAGGACATTATCAAAAGAGTGAAAAGAAAACTCACTAAATGAGAGGAAATATTTGCTAATCATATTCCTGATAAGAATTAATATTCAGAATATGTAAAGAACTCCTATAACTCAACAACAACAAAAAACAAACAGCACAGTTGAAAAATGAAAAAAGGACTTGAATAGACATTTCACCAGAGAAGACACACAAATGGCCAATCAGCACATCAAAAGATGCTCAACATTATTCATCATTAAGGAAACGCAACTCAAAACCACAATGGGGGCCGGGCATGGTGGTTCACACCTGTAATCCCAGCATTTTGGAAGCCTGAGGCAGGTGGATCACAAGGTCAAGAGATCAAGACCATCCTGGCCAACACGGTGAAACCCTGTCTCTACTAAAAGTAAAAAATTAGCCAGGTGTGGTGGCTGGCACCTATAATCCCAGCTACTCAGGAGGCTGAGGCAGGAGAATCACTTGAACCTGGGAGGCAGAGGTTGCAGCGAAATAAGATTGCACCGCTGCACTCCAGTCTGGTGACAGAGCAAGACTCCTCTCAAAAAAAAAAATAATAATAATTTTAAAAAACCACAAAAGAACAAAATAAACCACAATGGGATACCGCTTCACACCAATTAGGATGGCCACCAAAGAAAGAAAAGAACATGTTTTGGAACATCGTTCATCATAAAAAGAAATTAAATTCTGATATATGGGATAAGAAAAATAAACCTGGGACTTGGCCACGGGCCATGGGGTCAGTGCCTGCCTCAAGGGATGGGGTTGTGGGGTGTGTAGGAGCCCTGGGCCTACTGTGTTCCACAACACAGGATGGTGAACCAGGAGGCCACGGTGTAGCACCGATGTCTGCGGTGGGTGCTCGCCCTGGTCTTTGGGCTGTCACTCATCTACTTCCTCAGGAGCACCTTCAAGCAGGAGGAGAGGAGAGTCAAAGAGAGGAATCTCCTCCAGGTTCAAGACCATGATCAGCCCATTCTGTGTAAAGTGCATTTTAACTCGGGCAATGGCAGTCACCCCAGCAATCAGTGCCGCAACTCCATTCGAGGGGAGCACCTCATCATGAATGAACTATATTTGTGAGAGGAAGGATTTGCTGGTGAATGGCTGCTGCAACGTTAATGTCCCTGGCACAAAGCAATACTGCTGTGATGGCTGCTGGCCCAACTGCTGCTGCAACTGCAATGTCCCTAGCACAAAACAATACTGCTGCCATGGCTGCTGGTCCAGTGGCTGCTGCAACATTAACGTCTGTGGAACAAAGCAATACTGCTGCCATGGCTGCTGGCCCAACCGCTGCTTCAACATCAACATCCCTGGAACAAAGCAATACTGCTGTGATGGCTGTTGGCCCAACCGCTGCTGCAACTGCAATGTCCCTAGCACAAAGCAATACTGCTGCCATGGCTGCTGGCCCAACCTCTGCCAGCCCAACTGCTGCTGCAACATCAACATCCCTGGAACAAAGCAATACTGCTGCGATGGCTGCTGGCCCAGCGGCTGCTGCAATATCCATGTCCCTGGCACAAAGCAATACTGCTCTGATGGCTGCTGGCCCAGCAGCTGCTGCAACATCAACGACCCTGGCACAAAGCAATACTGCTGTGATGGCTGCTGGCCCAGCAGCTGCTGCCCAACAAGCAGCTTCTCTTGGAGTGCTTCCCCAGTTGGGCAGCTGGGGCATTCCAGAACCTCTTCATGGCAGTTGAAGAACATTTTGAGTTGTGCCTGGCCACATGCAGAACCTCAACCCGGAGCAGGCAACATGAGAACACCTACCAGTACCCCATAGCAAAGTCTTGCTAAGGAGAAAGCCCACCCAACCTCTTCCCTGCATGACAGGTGCAGGGGACTTGCTTCAGCTTGGGCAAAGAGGCCCCACCAAAGAACTTGCCTCCTAAGGCCTGGTTTCAGCACGAGGAAACCTCGGCTTTGACACCTTCTCGTGTTATCATCTTTGGCTTCACTCACCACCTGGGCTTACCAGATGCACCTCTTCCGCAAAGCAGCGTGGACCCTCTATCCGGTCCCATTCGGGAAAGATGAAACCTCAGGCTGGGCTCAGGGAGTGACTTTCTTGGACCACTCAACCCTGGGACTGCACAAGGACCTGTAACTTGTGTTGTCAGGGGGCCGGTGTCACTTTCAGGTGTTTGTTTGTTTGTTTGTTTTGTGATGGAGTCTAGCTCTGTCACTCAGGCTGGAGTGCAGTGGCACGATCTAGGCTCACTGCAACCTCTGCCTCGCGGGTTCAAGCCATTCTCCTGCCTCAGCCTCCTGAGTAGCTGGGATTACAGGCACCTGCCATCACGCCCAGCTAATTTTTGTAATTTTAGTAGAGACGGGGTTTCACTCTGTGGGCCAGGCTGGTCTTGAACTCCTGACCTCATGATCTGCCCACCTCGCCTCCCAGAGTGCTGGGATTACAGGCATGAGCCACCGCACCTGGCCATCGCTTCCAGTTATGATTATAATTTTGTAACATTATTTATTGGATTCCTTTGGAGTAGCAGAAAAATTACAATGTTTTATGTTGGAAAACGCCTTGCCATTCTAGTTGAACATGTTCAAGGATGTTATTTCTGTTGTTGTTTTGTGTTCTTGAGTTTCCTGAGTTAAATCATCCCTTCACCCAGAAAACATGTTCTGTCTTTTAGGGCGTGGATGTTCTCTAGGCAGTTATTTTTGTTTTTATTTCAACAGTATCAAGAGTAGGCCCTGAACATAGCCTCTTAACCATATCCTGGCACCTAAAATTATCTAAAAACTCAGACACTCTTCTAATCTAACTGCAAGATTTCTAGCAGTTGGCACCCCGTGCCTGCCCTCCGGTTCCTTTCTAGAGGGGGTTGAATGTGCTCATATACCCTATGGGAGAGCACTGTTTTAGCAGAAATGTAACTTCTCATCCTGGAGGAATTTGTTCTCATTTCTTTTGCCACTTAAAATTAACTGTGGGCTGCTTAGCCTCAGGTACAATGGGAGCTTCAGAAAGGTCAGAGGCAAACTCCTCCCCTGTTCTGTCAACAGAAACCCAATGTTAAGGCAATTTCTAAACAGAGAGGCACATAGCAGCTTACTATTTAAAAAAAAAAAAAAAAAATAGAGGCCAGGCACAGTGGCTCATGCCTGTAATTCCAGCACTTTGGGAGGCGGACGCAGGCAGATCACCTGAGGTGAGGAGTTCAAGGCCAGCCTGGCCAACATGGCAAAACCTCGTCTCTACTAAAATACAAAAATTAGCCAGGCGTGGTGGTGCACACCTGTAATCCTAGCTACCTGGGAGGCTGAGGCAGGAAAATTGTTTGAACCTGGGAGGCAGAGGTTGCAGTGAGCCGAGATTGCGACACTGCACTCCAGCCTGGGCGACAAAGCCAGATTCCATCTCAAAAAAGGACGACAAAAAAAAAGAGAGAGAGAGAGAAAGAGAAATAAAATCCTTTACAGACAAGCAAATGCTGAGAGATTTTGTCACCACCAGGCCTGCCTTACAAGAGCTCCTGAAGGAAGCACTAAACATGGAAAGAAACAACTGGTACCAGCCACCGCAAAAACATACCAAATGGTAAACACCATTGACACTGTGAAGAAACTGCATCAACTAATGGGCAAAATAACCAGCTAGCATCATAATGACAGGATCAAATTCACACACAACAATATTAACCTTAAATGTAAACAGGCTAAATGTCCCAATTAAAAGACACAGACTGGCAAATTGGGTAAAGAATCAAGACTGATCAGTGTGCTATATTCAGGAGACCCATCTCACGTGCAGAGACACACATAGGCTCAAAATAAAGGGATGGAGGAAGATCGACCAAGCAAATGGAAAGCAAAAAAAAAAAAAAAAAAAAAGCAGGGGTTACAATCCTAGTCTCTGATAAAACAGACTTTAAACCAACAAAGATCAAAAGAGACAAAGAAGGCCATTACATAATGGTAAAGGGATCAATGCAACAAGAAGAGCTAACTACCCTAAATATATAAGCACCCAATACGGGAGCACCCAGATTCATAAAGCAAGTTCTTAGAGACCTACAACGAGACCTAGACTCCCACCCAATAATAGTGGGAGACTTTAACACCACACTGTCAATATTAGACAGATCAATGGGATAGAAAATTAACAAGGATATTCAAGTCTTGAAAACATCTCTGGACCAAGCGGACCTAAGAGACATCTACAGAACTCCCTACCCTAAATCAACAGAATATACATTCTTCTCAAAACCACATCACACTTATTCTAAAATTGACTAGATAATTGGAAGTAAAACACTCCTCAGCAAATGCAAACAAACAGAAATCATAACAAACAGTCTCTCAGACCACAGCGCAATCAAATTAGAACTCAGGATTAAGAAACTCACTCAAAACCACACAACTACATGGAAACTGAACAACCTGCCCCTGAATGACTGATGGGTAAATAACAAAATTAAGGCAGAAATAAGTTCTTTGAAACCAATGAGAACAAAGATACAATGTACCAGAATCTCTGGGACACAGCTAAAGCAGCGTTTAGAGGGAAATTCATAGTACTAAATGCCCACAAGAGAAAGCAGGAAAGACCTAAAATCGACACCCTAACATCACAATTAAAAGAACTAGAGAAGCAAGAGCAAATACATTCAAAAGCTAGCAGAATACAAGAAATAACCAAGATCAGAGCAGAACTGAAGGAGATAGAGACATGACAAACCCTTCAAAAAAATCAGTGAACCCAGGAGCTGTTTTTTTAAAAAAAGATCAACAAAATCGATACACCGCTAGCCAGACTAATAAAGAAGAAAAGAGAGAAGAATCAAATAGACACAATAAAAAATGATAAAGGGGATATCACCACTGATCCCACAGAAATACAAACGACCGTCAGAGAATACTATAAACACCTCTACACAAATAAACTAGAAAATCTAGAAGAAATGGATAAATTCCTGGACACATATACCCTCCCAAGTCTAAATCAGGAAGAAATCAAATCCCTGAATAGACTAATAACAAGTTCTGAAATTGAGGCAGTAATTAATACCCTACCAACCAAAAAATCCAGGACCTGACAGATTCACAGTCAAATTCTACCAGAGGTACAAAAAGGAGCTGGTACCATTCCTTCTGAAACTATTCCAATCAAAAGAAAAAGAGGGATCCTCCCTAGCTCATTTTATGAGGCCAGCATCATTCTGACACCAAAACCTGACAGAGACACACAATAAAAGAAAACTTCAGGCCAATATCCTTGAAGAACATTGATGCAAACATCCTCAATAAAAGACTGGCAAACCAAATCCAATGGCATATCAGAATGCTTATCCACCACGATCAAGTTGGCTTCATTCCTGGGACTCAAGGCTGGTTCAACATACACAATCAATAAACATAATCCATCACATAAACAGAACCAATGACAAAAACCACATACTTATTTCAATAGATGCAGAAAAGGCCTTTGACAAACTTCAACACTCCTTCATGCTAAAAACTCTCAATAAACTAGGTATTGATGGAACATATCTCAAAACAGTAAAAGCTATTTACGACAAGCCCACAGACAATATCATACTGAACAGGAAAAACTGGAAGCATTCCCTTTGAAAACCAGCACTAGGCAAGGATGCCCTCTCTCACCACTCCTATTCAACATAATATTGGAAGTTCTGGCCAGGGAAATCAGGTAAGAGAAAGAAATAAAGGGTATTCAAATAGGAAGAGAGGAAGTCAAATTGTCTCTGTTTGCAGACATGATTGTATATTTAGAAAACCCATTGTCTCAGCTCAAAATCTCCTTAAGCAGATAAGCAACTTCAGCAAAGTCTCAGGATACAAAGTCAGTGTGCAAAAATCACAAGCATTCCTATACACCAATAATAGACAAAAAGAGAGACAAATCATGAGCGAACTCCCATTCACAATTGCTACAAAGAGAATAAAATACCTAGGAATCCAACTTACAAGGGATGTGAAGAACCTCTTCAAGGAGAACTACAAACCATTGCTCAACGAAATAAGACAGGACACAAACAAATTGAGAAACAATCCATGCTCATGGATAGGAAGAATCAATATCGTGAAAATGGCCATACTGCCCAAAGTAATGTATAGATTCAGTGCTATCCCCATGAAGCTACCATGGACTTTCTTCACAGAATTTAAAAAAAACTAAATTTCATATGGAACCAAAAAAAGAGGCTGCATAGCCAAGACAATCCTAAGCAAAAAGAACAAAGCTGGAGGTATCACACTACCTGACTTCAAGCTATACTACAAGGCTACAGTAACCAAAACAGCATGGTGCTGGTACCAAAACAGATCCATAGACCAATGGAACAGAACAGAGGCCTCAGAAATAACACCACACATCTACAACCATCTGATCTTTGACAAACCTGACGAAAGCAAGCAATGAGGAAAGGATTCCCTATTTAATAAATGATGTTGGGAAAACTGGTCAGCCATATGCAGAAGACTGAAACTGGACCCCTTCCTTACACCTTACACAAAAATTAACTCAAGATGGATTAAAGACTTAAACAAAAGACCTAAAACCAAAAAACCCTAGAAGAAAACGTATGCAATACCATTCAGGACATAGTCATGAGCAAAGACTTCATGATAAAAACACCAAAAGCTATGGCAACAAAAGCCAAAATTGACAAATGGGATCTAATTAAACTAAAGAACTTCTGCACAGCAAAAGACGCTATCATCAGAGTGAACAGGCAATCTACAGAATGGAAGAAAAATTTTGCAACCTACCCATCTGACGAAGGTCTAATATCCAGAATCTACAAGAACTTAACCAA